AATCATTTGGAGGCTTTTAATATAGATTTCTGTTTATTGTAGGACTTAAGGTCCTGTAGGGCTTAAGTTCGTGGTGTGACTACACTTGGACACAGATCTTTTAGCCGTCCTTCACTTTACGTTATTTAAATGTTGATGTAGTTACGAATAAACAGAACCAAACAGTGTACAGAGATGAGGATGTGTGATGAGAAGCCAGTGAGGTCGCACTGCTCAGAGCTGTGAAGCTGTCAGTGATGTCAGCTGCTGTTAGTGCAGCGCTGTAGGTCAGCAGAATGGACAGAAGATCCAGTCCATCTGCAGCTGCACATCTTGGAGACTTCACACTCTGAGGCTACCACAATCTTGCACATGCACCACCCAGGAAGCAGTGACAGCAGGTCATTTACCCAAACAGATCTTTCTAAATTCAACTGATCCAAAACGGCACATAAAACAGTTAAAGCTGCAACAACATAAAGCTGCATTACTGCTCAAAAGTTTAGAATCACTACTTTCAATGGTTTAAAGGTTTTATATGTAAAGCATTGTATAATTATGAGAAAGCTGTACAGCACTGAAAATGAACGTATAATAAATTGAATATCCAGAATGCCTCATATTTGAAAAGCTATGACCAAATCTCACTAACTATTCATATTAAGTTCATGACTAGTAATTACTATAAACAAATAATTACAGTTTATTATTTTGTAACATTACTATTTTTTACCGTCTTAACTTCTCTTAGTTCCCATCAACAGTGCTGCAGTGGAGTTTTTTTAGTGTCTATTTAAATTCATGCTTTTCCTGTTTACTGTCTATTTAATGTTATTGCTACACCATGGGGTCTGAGAGTAACGCAATTTCAATACTCTGTATGTCCTGTACAGATTGTAATATCGACAATAAAGCTGACTTGACTTGAAAATGCTTTACTGAATGAATCATCTGTTTACATCTGTATCTTCTGACATTTCAATCTACACTATTTAAGTTATTATTGAAGATTTATTAATATGATAAGTAATCTGTGCCAGGGTAATTAAAAACTGGCATTGTCCAGATTCAGTCCTGCGAATTATGTGAAAATCTGTAAAAATGACATAAAATCGCAATGTTTTTCACAGCAACTCACTTTATATCTCTAACAAAATTATGGAGAAACAGCCACAGTGGAGTTTGCAGCTGCTCAGGAGAGAAGGGTCTGTTTGCAGACTGCAGGACAGGGGCGGAACCTGGAGGGGCAAAACCGCTCTGGAGGCTGACCAATCAGAACAGAGTGGGCGAGCTGGCCAATCAGAGCATGGTGGACTCATCGGGAGGCGGGGCGTAAAGACGCAGGAGCTCTAACAGAGCGTTTCAGACAGAGGGTGAATAGAGATGAACAGGAAGAGGAAAATAATGTGTTTTTGGAACATTGAAACTGTAAATCTGTTTTAGTAGATTAAAAATAAAAGTATGGTCACTAAAAATGAGCATAAGGTCCCCTTTAAACACTTTAAATATGATTGTTCAGTTCCATCATCAGAAGAGTTTAATAACACTGAGCAAAATAGGCTCGTGACATCAACTTCTCCAGCTTTAGCAGGAACTCGAAACTGTCTGTGTTCCTCTTCACAGTCTATCTAATGAGTGCAAACCCAGCAACACTTTCTAATATCACTTCATGGTTAATAGGTAACTACGCAGAGGCAGAAATAAGACGTGCTGTGGCAGGATGGAGGTTTCAGTTAAAGAGTTCTGTTAAAGTAAAAGGTAAACAAGAATTCCAAAGAAATTCTGTCTCAGAAGAAAGAAACAGCAGTGACAGAGAGTCGTCTCACAATCAATCTTCCAAAAATAGTCCGGTTGCCAATTTTAGAAAAGAACCAGATAGCATGTGGATATGGGCCACTACTGGCAAACATATGGCACTACTGGCCCACTGTCGGCACTGACAAACTGCATCCAAGCCAAAAGTGGCCCACATTTACTCAAAGAGATTTGGGCCACTTCTGGCAGAGATATGACAGTATGTTGGCCTATGTTACATTTTTTTTTATTAATTAATTAGTAGCACAAAAACAATCTGCCTCAATACTAGCAACACCAATTAATATCCTACACTCTTCAAAAAGTTCAACCTTTTATCTAATAAGAAAAAAAAACTAATTACCAAAGGCTCCACTAAACAAGTGGGTTTTTAGCCTAGACTTAAAGACTGAGGCTGTGTCTGAGTCCCGAACACTTTATTAATTCTAGGTACTAATAGTGAGCAGCACCTTGTGATCTAAGTAGGCGTGATGGTTCATAGTGGGAGAGAAGTTCACGCAGGTACTGAGGGGCGAGTCCGTTTAGAGCTTTATAGGCCCGTAAGAGAATTTTATAATCAATGCGGGGCATTACAGTAATCTAGCCTTGAAGTAATAAATGCATGAACTAACTTTTCTGCATCCTGTAGAGATAAAGCATTTCTCAATTTAGCAATATTGCAGAAATGCAGGAAGGCTGTTCTAATAATGTGTTATATGTGTGTCGAAGGACAGATCAGGGTCTATAATGACACCAAGGTGTTTTACAGATTAACCTGACGCAACTGAGAAACTAAGTGTTAAATTACACAGTTTCTTCTAGCAGCTTTTGGACCAAGAAGCAGAACCTCTGTTTTATCCGAGTTAAGCAGGAATAAGTCATTCGACATCCAGTCTTTTATGTTATTTATACAGTCCTCAATCTTGCTAAGTTGAAGTTTGTCATCTGGTTTGGTTGATGTATATAACTGTGTGTCATCAGCGTAGCAGTGATGTCATTTTTACCAATAAGGGTACCCAGTGGTAGCATATATAACGTGAATAATACAGGTCCTAAAACAGAGCTTTGTGGAACACCACACTTCTACGTGGTTTTCTAGTCTATCTAGTTAAGACAGAGTGGTCTATCGTGTCAAATGCTGCATTAAGATCAAGGAGGACTAGGAAAGACACATTTCCTTGGTCAGAGAACATTTTGCAGAGGAAATCATTTTAACTAGCTCAGTTTGTTGAAGTAAGGTAAAATGACCCCAGCCTCTCTGCAGTAGCTACAGCGTACTCAACACCTGGAATGGCATTGTAGTCAGCAGGTTTGTAAATGTTTTGAATGTTTTGCCTGATTGTTTCAGTTTTATTATTGAAGAAATTCACAAAATCATTGCTGCTGTAGGCTGATGACATCTGGGGTTCAGTAACTGTTTGGTTCTTAGACACTTTAGAAATGATGCTAAATAATAAAAAATAATCTAGGATTATTTTTATTGTTTTCTATGAGTGAGGAGAGATACGTTGCTGCAGTAAGTGCTCTGCTATATCCTATAAGGCTGTTCTTCCAGGCAGATTTGAATATTTCTAATTTAGTCAGGCACCATTTACAATTTATATGTCTGACACTCTGAGTATGATCACTGTACCATGTAGCAGCTTTTTCTGCCTTATTCTTTTACTTTTCAGTGAAACCACATTATCTAGAGTTGAACGAAAAGTTTCCTCTAAGCACTCGGTCGTAATATCGTAATATCTATCTCACTGACAGCTGATAGAAGCTGATAAAGCTGCTAGATGTGGAGGATGTTATAGTCTTAACATGATAGCATGGGGATGAGCATATATTATGACTAAAGTGAATTTCATACAAGATTAGGTAATGACCATGTCAGAGTGAGAGCGCTCAGTATACCTGCCTTAGCCTCACCCCAATCTAAACAGCAGCTCAGACACACAGCTTTTATGCTATGCCACTGGCCCCACACCCCCAATAGAGTCATACAGAACAGAGCGGGACATTTGAGTCCTGTAAATACCTTAGTGTGTTCCACCCCAGGACATCCTCCTTGGGGGTGTTGTAAGGCCATTTGGTGTAACTGTTCAAACCACGAGAACAGAAATGGAGGTGGCTTCTTAAACCCTTCAGCATTAATACTGTTTAACAATGAATAACAATTAAGACAAAGGAAAATAAACAGAAAACTAGAAAATAAATCAAAATAAAACAAATCCCAACAGAGTACTGGAGTATTTTCAAACTGTGTGGAAGAGTGGGAGCTGCATAAATGCATTTTTATTTGTCAATGAGAGCACAGCTAAACAAAGCACGTTATCTGTTGTTCTATTCAGTTTTTCAGTTGGTCAGCAGTGGGAAGCTTTAGTTTAGTTAATTTGTGGTTAACGTGAGACCAGATATTATAAATATGCTCTAAATCTGCACTTTAACCAGGCCCAAACCAGATCAGCGGACCTGCTCTACAGCCATGCCTCATGTGCAAGAACATCAATTATTTGCAAAAAAAGGGCTCTACTACTGTTACAATATCGAGCTTGGATACAATAGCAGGACCCTTTTTTTTGCTACATAGACAGTGGTGGACAAAGTACACAAACCATGTACCTGAGTTAAAGTAGAGATACCCAAGGTAAAATATTACTGCAGTAAAAGTAGAAGTTCCTCCCTTTAGACCTCCACTTGAGTAAAAGTACAAAAGGATTTGCCTTCAAATGTACTTAAGTATGAAAGTAAAAGTACTAAAAGATACTAAAAGGCAAACAATTTGCTTTAGGTAGAACTGAGTGGCTCTAAAATTACTTTTTGAGAACAAGCAAAGTTTCAATTTAAGATTTATTTGAACTTGCAAGTTTAAGTTTAATAAAAACTTTAAACTCAGATTCACAAATGAGTTTCCTTTACTAAACTGCATCTGTAGGTCTGTGGTAATGTGACCATGTGTGGCGGAGGAGATGAAGACTTCGGGAGGACGCAAAGGTGAGGATCCATCAAATCTTGTCAATTTATTAAAGTTTTTACAAAAAAAAAGGTAAAGAAAAATACAACAAAGGAAAAAGAAAAGAAAATGGATTAAAACAGCCATCAGGCTTCTCCCAGCCTCTCAACTACCTCCATGTTCATGAGCCCGCCTGCTAGGCCCTGCCACCCTTAGCAGACGACACGTCTGCTCCAAGCTGTCTTCCTGTCACATGCACTGCTGCCTTAATACTTCCCCTTCCCTGGAACATACCATCCTAAGGAGGTTACGAACAAGAGAAGTGTAAAACCAGTACACGATACACCTTGATCACCAAAGACACCATTAACGTAGATTTCTCTACATACGTATCTTAAATCTACAGCGTCATCCAATGGTCAATTTCTCCCTTTTCTCTCTACAGGAGCTGCTGACCGAGGACACCCCCCTCTTGAGGATATCAACCAGGTACGTACCACTATCCCTACAATCTAATTTCTCACCGGTGTGTTCTCAAGCTAGCTTAGTCCAATTTGGGTGCATCTTATATTATTAAAGGTGTGGAGCAGATGTAAATCTCATTGGTGATGTGTCTGGCGCCTTGACATCATCACATACCCCCCACCTTAAGCGAAGTCAGTCCTCAGAATGATGAGACAAGTAGTCAGCAATAATATTTTTGGAACCTTTCTTGTACTGCACTGTGAACCTAAAAGGTTGCAAAGATAAATACCACCTCGTAATTCTTGCATTGGTGTCTTTCATGCGTGCCATCCATTGCAGTGCTCTGTGGTCTGTTTCAAGGATAAACTCAGCCCCCATCAGATAATACTTTAGAGAATCTAAGGCCCACTTTACAGCTAGTGCCTCCTTCTCTACTGTTGAATACCTAGTTTCCCTTGGGAATAACTTACGACTGATATACAAAATAGGCTTTTGCTGTTCCCCTTCCCCTTGAAGTAGCACCGCTCCTAGACCCTGACCAGAAGCAGTGACAGCAGGTCATTTACCCAAACAGATCTTTCTAACTGTGTGTCAGCTAAACATCCAATTCAACTGATCCAAAACGGCACATAACACAGTTAAAGCTGCAACAACATAAAGCTGCATTACTGCTCAAAAGTTTAGAATCACTACTTTCAATGGTTTAAAGGATTTATATGTAAAGCATTGTATAAGAATGAGAAAGCTGTACAGCACTGAAAATGAACGTATAATAAATTGAATATCCAGAATGCCTCATATTTGAAAAGCTATGACCAAATCTCACTAACTATTCATATTAAGTTCATGACTAGAAATTACTATAAACAAATAATTACAGTTTATTATTTCGTAATATTACTATTTTTTACCGTCTTAACTTCTCTTAGTTCCCATCAACAGTGCTGCAGTGGAGAGAGTTTTTTAGTGTCTATTTAAATTCATGCTTTTCCTGTTTACTGTCTATTTAATGTTATTGACACTGAGCAAAATAGGCTCGTGACATCAACTTCTCCAGCTTTAGCAGGAACTCGAAACTGTCTGTGTTCCTCTTCACAGTCTATCTAATGAGTGCAAACCCAGCAACACTTTCTAATATCACTTCATGGTTAATAGGTAACTACGCAGAGGCAGAAATAAGACGTGCTGTGGCAGGATGGAGGTTTCAGTTAAAGAGTTCTGTTAAAGTAAAAGGTAAACAAGAATTCCAAAGAAATTCTGTCTCAGAAGAAAGAAACAGCAGTGACAGAGAGTCGTCTCACAATCAATCTTCCAAAAATAGTCCGGTTGCCAATTTTAGAAAAGAACCAGATAGCATGTGGATATGGGCCACTACTGGCAAACATATGGCACTACTGGCCCACTATCGGCACTGACAAACTGCATCCAAGCCAAAAGTGGCCCACATTTACTCAAAGAGATTTGGGCCACTTCTGGCAGAGATATGACAGTATGTTGGCCTATGTTACATTTTTTTTTTTATTAATTAATTAAAAAAAAAAGAAGTAGCACAAAAACAATCTGCCTCAATACTAGCAACACCAATTAATATCCTACACTCTTCAAAAAGTTCAACCTTTTATCTAATAAGAAAAAAAAACTAATTACCAAAGGCTCCACTAAACAAGTGGGTTTTTAGCCTAGACTTAAAGACTGAGGCTGTGTCTGAGTCCCGAACACTTTATTAATTCTAGGTACTAATAGTGAGCAGCACCTTGTGATCTAAGTAGGCGTGATGGTTCATAGTGGGAGAGAAGTTCACGCAGGTACTGAGGGGCGAGTCCGTTTAGAGCTTCTCCCAGCCTCTCAACTACCTCCATGTTCATGAGCCCGCCTGCTAGGCCCTGCCACCCTTAGCAGACGACACGTCTGCTCCAAGCTGTCTCTTCCTGTCACATGCACTGCTGCCTTAATACTTCCCCTTCCCTGGAACATACCATCCTAAGGAGGTTACGAACAAGAGAAGTGTAAAACCAGTACACGATACACCTTGATCACCAAAGACACCATTAACGTAGATTTCTCTACATACGTATCTTAAATCTACAGCGTCATCCAATGGTCAATTTCTCCCTTTTCTCTCTACAGGAGCTGCTGACCGAGGACACCCACCTCTTGAGGATATCAACCAGGTACGTACCACTATCCCTACAATCTAATTTCTCACCGGTGTGTTCTCAAGCTAGCTTAGTCCAATTTGGGTGCATCTTATATTATTAAAGGTGTGGAGCAGATGTAAATCTCATTGGTGATGTGTCTGGCGCCTTGACATCATCACAAGGTCTCTGTTCATAAACATAAACTAGCCAAAACTAATTTACTATAAAATGAAATCGTGTTTGTATAAATTCAGAATAAAGACCCGTCAGTCACAACTGCATATGAGTACATATTTCTATATTGTGGTTTATTTACACAAAGTTAGGTTAGTTCATCATTTATGTTGAATAGACTCTCCCGAAATTTTACGCTGCTGCTCTGATGTTGAACCGTGTGCTGCACTGGGTCGGTATGACCAACAGGTCAAAACAAGCTCAAAACTAAGTGACCGCTGTGCCCTGATTGGTGTTCTTGCTTTGCGCTTCTTTCGTTTTGACATGTTGCATTTTTATACACACATAAACCAAAAGTAACGACAGATTTCTCATAATGTGGTGGAGTAAAAAGGAAGATATTTGACTCTGAAATGTAGTGGAGTGAAAGTGAAAAGTCACCCAAAATGGAAAAACTATACAGATACACGAAAAACTACTTAAGTACAGTAACGAATTACATTTACTTCGTTACTGTCCACGACTGTAAATAGAACCATATACAACACATTCTTTATCAATATGATGAACCATTTCACCATGCAAAGAGTGAGGAGGCTGTAATAGTTCGGCCTGCCAGAGTATCTGCTGCACTCTGTGACACTGTATACTGTAATCAGGTGCCCACTGCTCACCAGCCTTCTGGACCAGTTTGACTTCCTGATGCTGCTGCTGCACAGACTCGAAATATTTAATTATAGACATTGCTTCACCTGCCTGACTTAATCTGAGCTCTTCTCATATTCATATTAACAGATCATCATTACAGGCTTCTAACAGTGGTCATTAATGTTCATGGTTTCCCAACAGCAGTCACTGGTTTTCACTGGTAACACTGACTGGTTCAGATCTGTTTCAGATTCTATCTTGTTACTCTGATAGTCGTCATACCTACGAAGCAGTCATTAGTTATCATTGCTTAATCTAAATGCTTCTGTCCAACGACAGGCTTTTTCCCCTTTTCTCTACTTTTAATATTTATATTAATAGCACAACCTTATTCTCTGTTCATCTTTCTCTTGTCATATTGTTTGCTATCCGGTGTGGACCAGAGGAGGAGGATGGGTTCCCTTTTTGAGTTTTGGTTCCTCTCAAGGTTTCTTCCTCTTGTTCTTGGAGTTTTTTTCTGCCACTGTTGCCAATGGCGATGATCATGGGGTCTCAGACTTAGATTTTGATGACACTTTATTCTGAGTGTCAACAACACTTAACAGACTCTCAGTAACATCAACAACACATCAGTGATGCAGCAGCAGTGAAAACATTCAGTAGATCATCAAGAGACTCTTAATTAACTGTGTAAATAATTGTGTTTATAATCTGCTGAATCAGCTATTTTTCACTTTATTTGTGTCCAAGTTCAGATCTGTAGATGTTGAACTGAGAGGAGCTGAACATGAACAGGTTTAATACAGACCATCAACATCAACCAGCTGATACAGACACACTGACACCATCCTGGACCTGGAGATACACTGGATCAGGGTTTAGGGTGAGGGTTAGGATTAGGTTTTGGGTTGAAGTTGAGGTTAGGATTAGGGCCAGGGTGAGGGATAGGATTAGGTTTTGGGTTGAGGTCAAGGTTAGGATTAGGATTAGGGCCAGGGTGAGTTTAGTATTAGGTTTTGGGTTGAAGTCAAGGTTAGGATTAGGATTAGGTTTTGGGTTGAGGTTGAGGTTAGCATTAGGATTAGGACCAGGTTGAGGGTTAGGATTAGGTTTTGGGTGAGGTTGGGTTTTGCCTATTGAAAGTACCATATTAAGTCTACTTCATATAACATATCAACAATCAATATACTTAATGTAGGTATTGTATCAACAAAACAGCTACAAGATATTCACTTTAATGTATTCAGATGCTTCACTACTGCTACTTCACTGATATGTTGTTGATGTGTTACTGATAATCTGTTGAAAGTTTATCATTTACAAATAAAGTGTTACCCAGAAAGCTGGTTTGTGACGCCTGTTGCAAAAAGTGCTATATAAATAAACTTTAGCTTGACTTATTTCCCCACCACCAGCCCATCTCCTTACTATTCCTTGGTTTTGTCCACAAGGCGGGGGGACCTGCTTTCTGGGTCCAAGTAGCAGCCACCAGCTCAAGTTCTGAGAGTTCTCTTCCCTCCCTAAATCACGCAGTCTGTCTCCATAATACCAGTGTTCCTCATTCTGTCTCTCCACAGACTCAGCAGAGGACAGTCCAGCACTCAGTGGTCATTTAACGCTGAAAGGTTGGTACACTTTATGAATGACTAAATGACTAAATGAATGTTTATGAGGAGGCGCCGTCAGGGAGCAGAGTGGAGTCGGAGTGTGTGAAGATGGAGGACGAGTGTGTGAAGACGGATGATGAGGGTGTGAAGACGGAGGACGTGTGCCAGACTCTCCAGTCGACTCCTCCAGTGGAGAACCCAAACCCAACCCACAGTGAGAACACACAGAACCTTCAATACAGCAGAGAACATTCAAATCAGTCTCACTGTCACTAATGAGCTGCTGGACGTTTTCTCTGTCCATCTCTAACAGAGCCAGTGAGGAGCTGCAGGATAAAGACGAAGCTGTTGCTCTTCAATACTCTGTTATTGATCGTTATCCTGATCATGATCGGACTCTTCAGTAAGTAACTAATATGATTTAAGTTAGGTTGTATTTATTATTGTGCTTATGCTATCATTAATTATTAATCATTTTAGTGACTGTCGCTTTCTTGATGTCAAGCATGTTGGCAACATTTTATTAGAACCCTGGTACGTAACATTGACATAACCAAGACATAAGCATGTCATAGGACATCATGACAGATTTTAAAACAGTAATAAAACAGTATCATGTTACATTATTGTTAATTCTCATGTTCGCCTACTGCTCTACTTAAACACCTGACCAATCAAACTTAATAACTACTGCCCTGTCTTTGCCAATCAACTCCAAGCTTACTTAGAAAGCAATAATCAGTTAGAACATTTCCAGTCATGATTCTGTCCATTCCTCAGCACTGAAACTGCTTTGATTAAGGTCATTAATGATCTTCATGTGTTTGTAGATGCTGGAGCTCTTAGCATCTTTATATTACTTCATTCAAGTGCAGCTTTTGACACAGTGAGTCATTCAAGCCTCATATGAAGGCTGTGTGAGCTGGACACTCACTGCTCTGCCCTCAACTCATTCACCTCTTTCTTGACTGGCAGAGAGAGTTATGTGTGTGGTTCTGTGTTGGGCTGTGGTTTAGTCAGTGTGGTGTCAGTATCCACAGTAAAGGGAAAGGGTTTGGTTAAAGATGACCTCTCTGCCATCTCGGCCATGTCAGCAGCACCGGACTGCGGTTCTCCTGCCTGGTCTTTAATAAAGAGCATCTGCCTGCATGGACACTGTCTAATCTTATTCTGCACTGACACTGCAATATTTAAGATTAGTTTGTGGAAAACAAATAAAGCTTAATTTGTGGCTTTATGCATTTTGAATATATTGTTGTTTTTATAGTTTAAAGAGAAAAACTGTGCTTAGAAAATTTTAATAAAAGTAGATTATATTAAGGAATTACTCAGGATTAAGCCTAGTCTTGGACTAAAATGGATTTGTGATGGAGTTGTGAATGGAGAATGAAGTATAGGGCACTTTCTATTGGGAGTGTCTGCCCCAAACCCATAAACTCACATACTCATGAGTATAATTTTTAAATAAAAAAAAATAATAATTCTATCCATAGTTTTCATGTCACGTCAACATAAAGAGTTTCAGTATGTGGGCGGAGCCTTATTTTAGCCACACCTCTGCATTTTAGATCAGGAAGTGAGACTCCATCGCTGTCCCTCATCGCCACATGGTGAGAAGTTAGATCCCAAAGTCTGAAAATCAGTGTGGAACATTAAGAATCACCATATTTTCTGCAGTTCAGCACTTTTTAGTGTTTTAATGTAAAATATGATGATTTTCTGTGTGAACAGCTGTTCACAGCTGTGTTTGCTGGTCATGAACTGGCTGAGTTTTTGAGCTCAAAATGAGCAAAAATTGTCACCACTGAAACAGTCACTACTGACACATTTGGTAAAGTTTGGTGTTATGATTGTTTTAGTAGTGACAAAATGGAACGTTTATTTATAAGTTTTACTAAACATAATTAAGGTTTATAGTCACTCAGAGCAAAAGGATTTTAGTTTGAAGTCCAAGATCAGTTAAAAGTCCCAAATGTGTTTCAGCTCTGACTTTAAACCAGCTCAGCAGAATCTTTTGTACAGCTGCTTATTTGGAAGATACCGAAATCAGTGCTGGAACAAAACCTTGTATCTGTATTTATTTTACAGAATGTGAAAATGCCAGTTGCTGTTTACACTTCATTTAGCATAAAACCTTGATTTGTTAACGTACATTCAAAGTTTTTTTTTTTTTCATCTTTTTTCCTGTTAAGTTTCTTGTGTTTTTGAGATGCAGTCTTTTGTGAAAAGGGGTGTGAAGAGTTTTAACAAAGTGAACTTGGCACTGAAAAATGCTTCTTAGCGATTGTAAAAACCTTTAAAGAGATTTAGTTGTTCAAATATCATAAATGTAATTTTCCCACCTTAATTTTATATTTTCTTTGACGTTGCAGTTGCAAAAAAGCCACAAGCCCCTGGTGAGCAGCACACACAAACAAACACAATCACCACTCCATTCACTTGTGTTGATTGTTTAACTGTAAATAAATTAAGTAAACAAAGTAAATAATAAAATAAGTACACATCCTGTACAGAGTCACACTAAAAAATGTTGAAAAAACACATTTTGTTTTATTGTTTTACCAATGTATTAAATTCAGTAAATTAAGTAAGCCCTGGAAGGTCAGATGAAAAAAGAGCTTGAGTCCAAATTATTTTCGTTTTTGTCCTTCAACTTTAATGTTTGTGATGTCGCAGCTGCAGAAAACCAACAAAACACAGAAGTGAGCAGAACAGAAGATGCTGGTGAGGAAACATTTTAGGATTCAATATATGAACAAAAATTTAATATTTTGAAATCAGTTCTATGTTCTTGATGATGACAGTGGAGAGACAATGTTATACTTTCAAGATATATAGATTACAGTTCATGAAAGTGCCCATTTTTGGAAGAGGTCCTCACCTGCTTTGCATATTTTTAGGTATTTTAGGCGGCCATTTAAAGGTCATCTGTAAAAATTAGTGCATAATATCATCTTTGTACTTTTTGCATTGCAAGTTTTGGTTTGTAACTCAAGTAGAAGATCTTTAAATAAAAAAAAGCAGAAGTTTAAACAGGCTGAAAAAGGCTTGCTTCACTTCGTCATTTCAGAGTGAAATGACTTCAGTGTTTGTGTTTTTAGGAGTAGATGATGAAAGCGGGAGTGGAGAGCTGTGGATTCTCCACGATGGCATGTTTTATTTGTTCTGGGAAGACGAAGGGAGCTGCGCTGAGGCTGAGAAGTTCTGTAAAGAAAGAAACTCCAGAATTGGCACCGTTACAAACAAGAACGAGGTACCTATATAAAAAATGTGGAGAAATTATAATAATATAATGTTTATGCAGTTCATATTTGAAAAAAAACAATAAATAAACTAAGGTAAATGCAGTTCTAATTACAGCCTTTTAATCTGCACATATAACACCAGTAAAGGAGCAAGATTCAGTATTCTTACTGAAGGTCTGGACTGCAGGCAGGCCAGTTTAGCACCCGGACTCTTTTACTACAGAGCCATGCTGTTGTAATACATGCAGAATGTGGTTTTACATGTTCTTCCTGAAATAAGCAAGGCCTTCCCTGAAAAAGACGTCATCTGGATGGCAGCATATGTTGCCAAAACATGTATATATCGTTCAGCATTAATGGTGCCTTCACAGATGTGCACATCGCCCATGCCATGTGCACCGATGCCCCCCTATACCATCACAGTTGCTGGCTTTTAAATTGTGCACTGATAACAAGCCTGATAGTCTTTAGCCCAGAGAACACAGTGTCCATGATTTCCAAAAAAGAATTTCAAATGTTGATTCGTCAGACCACAGAACACTTTTCCACGTCCCCTCAGTCCATTTTAAATGAGGTTGGGCCCAGAGAAGGTGGCAGTGTTTCTGGATCCTGTTTATATTTGGTTTCTCCTTTGCATTTTAGAGTTTTAACTTGCATTTGTGGATGCAGTGATGAACTGTGTTCACAGACAGTGGTTTTCAGAAGTGTTTCTGAGCCCATGCAGTGATTTCCACTACAGAATCATGTCTGTTTTAATGCAGTGCTGCCTGAGGGCCCAAAGATCACGGCCAGCAAATACTGGTTTTTGGTCTTGTCCCTTACATACAGAGATTTCTCCAGATTCTCTGAGTCTTTTAATGTTATTATGTACTGTAGATGATGAAAAGCTAAAGTTCTTTGTTATTTTACGTTGAGAAACGTTCTTCTTGAGTTGTTGCACTATTTGATCATGCAGTCTTTCACAGAGTGGTGAACCCCTCCCTTCTGATGGAGATTAATGGTGTGTCCAGAGAGGCTCAAATTGAGTTGACGTGGGATGAGCCCATTATAAACTGAAGTAAATTTGGCCTACTTTGACCTGCTGTAGATTCCGAGAGGGGGGTTTGAGTAGATGGGCAGGGGTGGGAGGCGGGTCAGGAATAAACACATTTTACCAATTTCACCCTCAATTTAAACCCTGCTGTGTGTGTTTGTGTTTGCAGGACTGGATTCTGTCTCAGGCAAACGGGAGGAAGCTGTGGATGAATATTGTAAGATTCACTCTCAGTATTATTGAGCACATTGATCACAGTTAGAGATGTAGTGATGAGGACTGAAGCCCTGACCAGCTGGACTAGTGTAACCACAGGACGTCCAGTAATGTGATCTGACTGGCTGATTCACACCAGATGAAGTATTTGTATGATTTCCCCAAAACAACTCCAAACAGCTTGAAATATGACTGACAGGCTGGACATTCACAATTTAACAAATGCCCATTTATTTATTTCTTTAGTGACATAATTTGCATAAATGTATCATGTTTATTTGTTATAACTGATTTGATATATTGTAAAAATAATGTGAAGTCACAGTCCAATTAATGATTAATCTTTAAAAAAATGTATGTTAACGAATTAGTGATTATTATTTAAGCATTAAATAAAATTGAATGCATCTATCAGTCAGTAGTGATTCATAATTGTTAATGCAGCTAAGTAAATGCTTAATAATGAAATATAAATATTAAATCATATCACTATTAAAAACTAGAATGAATAATTAGGTTTCTAAAGTCCAAAATAGCAATTGATAATTCTTATGTCAGTAAATGGTTCATCATTCAACTGGTACAACTTATTAATGCACATGTAACTATTATATGAATATTAGCCGTCATTAAGAATCTATTAGAGTGACTGAGGACCTGTTTATGAGGGTCTGTTTTTATAACGTGTTACTCATGTTTTATCTTCAGGATGGTGATACAGCTGGACCCCTGAATAAGACCCTCTGTCAGTGTCCGCTGGATGGAGGAAACTCAGCAAACTCAGAGGACATGCGGGGCTGGGTGTGTGAAAGTGGTCAACTGAAATCTCTCCAAATCCCTGAATCTCCAAATCGGACACCACCTTCATTTAGTTTTTACGATAGCTTCATTTTTGATGACTTTGAGGAAGCAGCTGATTATTCTATTACAGATTATGAAGAGTACAGTTTAGAATATGCTCCATCTGAAAACCCCACAGCAGCACCTGAGCATGAGAGCTCTGCGTCCTCTGCAGCGTCTCTTCTCTCTGTGAAGATCTACATTATTACAGTGTCTGTTCTGGCTTCACTGCGTCCACTGCACTTCTGACCCTCCTCTGAGTTTGTGGAGATCTGACCCTAGAAGCACATGTGTCGCCCCCCCCCCAAACCTTAGAGAACTTCATCACGGCTTTAATGAGTTTTCATGTCTGGTGTTAAATGACTTCCTTGCTTATTTTCTCAAGTTCAAATTTTACATTATTTGTATGTGACATTATATGAATTTATTTTAAGCCTGTTTCCAATAAACTCTCGTTTGCAATGCTGGCAGTTGATCTTGTTAGTCTTTTTCCAGACTTGTTAATGCAGTGCATCGTAGAAATGCTCATCTTCTGGACTCGGACAATGTTTTGTTTTGTTTTGTTTTGTTTTGTTTTGTTTTTTTGACTATTTGAGACTTTTTGATTTGCGATGCATTTCTGTATTAAGTCTAGTTTAACTGATGCAAATACAGTGAAGCTGAATCACGTCTACTGGAGCTGATAAGTTTTGTTGGTGAACTTTTAAATTCATTCAGTCGTTTAGATGTGCATAGATATACGGCTGTATTCAAAAGTTTGTGCACCCCTAGTCATATTCCATGTTTGTGTTGATGTGTAAATAAGTTACACGTCCTCTACAGAGACACACATCTTCATGTATTAATACACACTTACTGCTTATTTGCTGAATTTAACATGTTGGAGGGAAAATATTTAAACAGAAAATGCAACAGTTGTGGTACAATCCATGTTTTATGTTTTCCAATATGTTAAACTCAGCAAATAGCAAGATTTTATATATATATATATATATAAATTGTAGGATATACCAAGACAAGTCTTCACTCAGAACATAGTCTCAATGCCCCTTAAATACCCTACACAATGGTATCTAATGAAGCACAGGTGTCTGCTAGGGGCTCAGTACTCAGGAGAGTGAGACCTCTGCTGGCAAGGAGAGGAACTGGTGGCAGCAGATATGATAGTAAGTATAAATTTGATGTTGATGACTATAAAATACACTTTCTGTTAAATAAAAAAAAAAAAATACCAACACTTTACATTTATTCCCTGCAGTTATTGAATAATATGCATAAACATTTGTGGGTGTAAATTCATTCAGAAGATCAGAAGTCATTTTTCAGCAAGATAATTCTCCTGTATATGAACGATGGCTGGAGAGAACGTCCATTGGTCTGATGTATGGGAATGTGGAGTCAATTCAACTTAATATGAATATGGTACAGTCCAGTCCAGAACCAGCCGGTTCCAAGACAGTTGCCTCCCTCCGGGCTGAACAGCTGGTAGTGCTGGTGCATCAGTCAGTTGGCCTGTCACTACACCTCTGAATCATCATCATGATGATCTCCATGGACAATCCACACCACATCCATACCTCAACAGATTCACTCTGATCTGCTGTAATTTCTATCTAGCAAATCAAATACCTGCACACATAGACTGACATCTTGTACAGTTATGTTACAGTTATGTTCCCTAACTAAAGGTACTGAAGATGCACCCTCGAGTTTCACGACAGTTTAGTCCTTTTCGTTTTCTTAAAACAGGACATCACCCACTTTCCAGTCCTCACAGTCTGACCTTAACAGAAACTATTTCAGAGTTTCTGTAAAACGACTGCTGATTCAGCTCATCAGCTCATTATCAAGGCCTTCCTGAGCTGCATTCAGAGTCTAGAAGAGGGAAAACACTAATCTCTGCGGAGCTGCGACCCAGAAGGAACCCAGTCTGACAGTTAGAGCCAAGTTCTCATGACTCCTGGGCCACCACCAGCCCACAGCTGGTCTAAATGTTCCTTCTATCCATGTGCATATCACACTGATTCACGCTGGTTGAGAAACGAAACCTTCCTCATTCTGTCTCTCCATAGACTCAGCAGAGGACAGTCCAGCACTCAGTGGTCATTTAACGCTGAAAGGTTGGTACACTTTCATTACTCTGTACTGCAGCCTGATTGAGTTACTGATAACAGACAGGTGGGATGTTTGTGCTGTAGATGAACGTTTATCAGGACACGCTGCCGAGGAGCAGAGTGGAGTCGGAGTGTGTGAAGACGGAGGACGTGTACCAGACTCTCCACCAGCCTCCTTCAGTGAAGAACCCAAACCCAACACACGGTGAGAACAAACAGAACCTTCAATACAGCAGAGAATTAACATTCAAATCAGTCTCACTGTCACTAACGAGCTGCTGGACGTTTCCTCTGTCCATCTCTAACAGAGCCAGTGAGGAGCTGCAGGATAAAGACGAAGCTGTTGATCTTCAACTCTCTGTTATTGATCGTTATCCTGATCATGATCGGACTCTCTAGTAAGTTATTTAACTGTAGGTTGTGTTTATTGTCGTGCAGCTACTGTTACTCTCTGAATTTGCCACTTCACTGACTACATTTGTCAATTTATTGATTATTTTTACCATGTCACACATTTTAGCAACACGTTGCTTAAAACTCACTAAATAACTGTCATAATCGTGTCATGAACATGTCGTATGCTCTCATGACAGATTTTGTTCAGTAATATAACGGTGTAAGAAGTCATTTTCATGAAATTTGTTTGTCATGATGGCTAACTACACACACAGCTAAAGTTAGCATGTGGCATAACCTGTTATGACATGGTTGAAGTGTGTTGGAAACAACATGAAATGAACAGATTTTATTGCACTTGAGAATAAAGAGGTTTGACTTTAATTAAACAATGATCAGATTCAGTCAACAGAATGAACACTGGGTTTAATGGACTTGAAAATGGTAAAAATACGGGAAAAAAACAAAATATTTAATTTAGTAAATCTGAAAATGCCAAATGTGTCACAATCAATAGACAAGAAATAGTATATTTGTTAGATAATGTTAATCATACTTGTTTTTTGTTAAACTATACAAATTACTTATTGTGCATTTTCTGTATTATTTTCATAGTTTAAAGAAAGAAAAACTACATAGCGCTGCTCAAACTTTTTGTCTTGTGGGGCCAAAATGTATTAATGCATTAAAAAATCTGTATGGACCATTCTACTGAATTAGTTCAAACTGTAGTCACACATCTAAAAATAAATAAAATAAATAAACAATAAAAGTTTCAGACCTTAGATATTTACAAGGTTTATGTTCTGATCTATTTTAAACCCTTTAATTAAACCAAAGCATTAATGGAAATAGTAATAAATTAAATATATATATAACCTCTAAATTAACACTTGTGAAAATAATACTTTTTACATTTTTCTGCTTTTTTTGCCAAAAGCTTTTTTTTATTTCTCTTAAAGTGAAGTTGATTTTGATTAATCCTAAGATTAATGTTTTAATAAAAACGCTGTCCCATGTTTTCATGTCACTACCATAACAAATAGCTTCAGTCTGTAGGCGGAGACTTATTTTAACCACGCCCCTGCATTTTAGAGCAGGAAGTGAGGCTGCATCCCTGTCCCTCATGTCCACATGGTGAGCAGTTAGATCCCATTGTTTTGAAGTAAATGAGTCCCAAAGTCTAAAAATCAGTGTGGAACATTAAGAATCGTCATATTTTCTGCAGTTCAGCACTTTTTAGTATTTTAATGTAAAATATGATGATTTTCTGTGTGAACAGCTGTTCAAAGCTGTGTTTGCTGGTCACGAACTGGCTGAGTTTCTAAACTCAGAATGAGCTAAAATTGTCACTGAAACAGTCACTACTGAAACAAGTCTGCATAGTGTTCTGACTGTTTTAGTGACAAAATGAAACCTTCAATCATTAGTTTTAATAAAATAAGTTTAAAGTCCAAGTCAGTTAAAAGTTCCAAATGTGTTTGGGTTTGAGCTGGTGACACTTCGCTTTCTGAAAAATGTCTTTGTTTACATATATTGAGTACATATATCATAATGACCTTTTGAAGAGTTTTGTAAATAGTTCTAATGGTTGTGAATAATATTGCATAACTACTTTAATTTTTTAAAAGAATACTGCTGTTCAATTATGCTAAAGTAAACTTTAAATTATTTTTTTTCGTCTTTTAATGACATTTCAGTTTTTATCTTTCAGTCTAATAAGAGTTACCCTGAAAATATAGTTAATGTAGAACATTAAAAAGTATCTTCTAGAGAAGAAGTGACATGTAGGCCTTGGAATTCCCCTCCACGCCTCAAGAGGTCACTATTTCCCCAATATTGAAGTTCTTTTCTACACTTGCTTCTCTGTTGGGGCTCATTAGTAAGCTTTCATTAGCCTGTTCTCTCATTATTCTCTGGTTAGTTTGTAATTTGGACTGTTTTCCAGATTGTATGTATCCTTTTTGGAACCTGTTGGATTTTGTGCACTTATTCAGATCTGTTGGTCTGAGTCTAATAAAGCTGCCTTTGGATTCTCTTTTGTTGTCGATCAATACAGTATCAAATACATCACAGATAAAGCTCTTGTTTAAGACCAGTGAGCTTCACTCCTAGTGACAAGAATATCAGTGACTTTGTACAGTCAAAAATTCCAATCAACCTAATGAGAAACTGTAGAACAGACTCAGTTTATATCACAATACCTACATTTAGAGTCGGTTATTCATTCAACCTGCTCTCACAATGACCACTGCTGCTCTCACAATGACCACTGCTGCTCTCACAATGACCACTGCTGCTCTCACAGTCTCACTGCTGCTCTCACAATCCCACTATTGCTCTCTCAATCCCACTGCTGCTCTCACAATCCCACTGCTGCTCTCACAATGACCACTGCTGCTCTCAAAATGACCACTGCTGCTCTCACAATCTCACTGCTGCTCTCACAATCTCACTGCTGCTCTCACAATCTCACTGCTGCTCTCTCAATCCCACTGCTGCTCTCAAAATGACCACTGCTGCTCTCACAATCTCACTGCTGCTCTCACAATGACCACTGCTGCTCTCACAATCTCACTGCTGCTCTCAAAATGACCACTGCTGCTCTCACAATCTCACTGCTGCTCTCAAAATGACCACTGCTGCTCTCACAATCCCACTGCTGCTCTGACAATGACCACTGCTGCTCTCACAATCTCACTGCTGCTCTCACAATGACCACTGCTGCTCTCACAATGACCACTGCTGCTCTCACAATCCCACTACTGCTCTCACAATCCCACTGCTGCTCTCACAATGACCACTGCTGCTCTCACAATGACCACTGCTGCTCTCACAATCTCACTGCTGCTCTCACAATCTCACTGCTGCTCTCACAATGACCACTGCTGCTCTCACAATGACCACTGCTGCTCTCACAATCTCACTGCCGCTCTCACAATGACCACTGCTGCTCTCAC